ACTTTCATTAATTGATGTCAGAGACCTCACGTCATGTCTGTCGAACTATTGACATCCTCGACCTATTACCTTTCTATAACTTCATCTCTTCTTCCTTTTGTAATTAATCGACTCTATCGCAATCACTAATCATTCACAGTTGTGTCAATTACTTCTTCATCTTAACGACAGTAATTACAGACTTTTATGCAAGACTCATTTTCTGGTGTTTCTTTAAGGGAGTTTACTTTATAAACTTTTTTTATTCGCAATTAAGTGTTTGAGGAAAGCCATTTTTTGCGTTATTTGCTAATTCAAACTGGAATTACTTAAATAATTTGACGCATATTACATTTAAAATTAAATTTATTTTTATCACTAGTTAGATAGAATAAAAATTATTTATATGTTATGAATGAAATAACTGGTTTATTAATTAGGTATTGAATTCGAGATTTCAATTAAAGTGCCAGTCTTGAAAAAAAAAGGTTTAAAAAAAATTTCTCTTACTCGCATATTTACATAAGAGCAGTTAATTTTAACACTGGATGAAATTTTGTAAGTTAGAGTGAACATTAGTGGAATTCTTTGATAAAATCCGCTTCACGCTTGACGGAAGAAGTTTGCTCGCGATTTGCTTGTGAAAGAAACGCAAAACGCACCAAGTTTCAAAACTTTTTGGTTACAGTTGGTCAGTTGCGAATACACTGCGAGAATTATTTATGAAATTTCGGTTTCTATGAAGGAATCCGAAATATTTCTTTACTTTCCAATCATTTATTCAACCATTTATTTCCTTTAATATCTCGGATAGAAGTTCCTGTTTTATTAAGATAGAGGAAGATACCAAGGAGCCCTGTCAATTGAGATTTTGTCTGAATGGCAAGTGACATTTCACATGTACTTTCACATTTTAAGGCCATTCGCTATTCCCCCTTGTACAATGACTTTGTTGTCGTTGATCGAATAATTCGAAAGTTTGATTTTTAGAACTGTGACGATACCTTTTGCAATGTCATTTGCAATATTTTAACATCATAAGACTACAATAAATCAAGCGGTTTTAATTCAGCAAGAAATGAATTTGAGTAACAAAACTTGTAAAAAAGAGCATTGAAAAATTTCTCGAATTATAATACTTTGAGACAAATATTTTTTTTAATCAAGCAATTTTAAAATCGAGTTCGACTATACACGAAGAAAATAAATTCTTGTGGCTGCTAAAAGCGCGATCAAATAAATTGCTCAAGGTATCGTAAACATCACCTATAATTTGATTGCTTCTTAGGCCCCTTTCTTTAGCGCACTACTTTTAATGCACATCATGGAAGATTTAGTCATTCATAAATTGGATTTTATTTCGACGCAAATTAAATTCGTAAATATGTGCACAATACATTTACATGCATTAAAAATCCATTGGAGTTTCATTTGCCTAAAGAGATAATTACTTGCGCTGTCTGCAAATAATAAATTCTCAAACATTAAAAAAAAACAGTATCCCTCTAAAGAAGATTGTGTAATTATATTCGACCGAATGATTTGTATACTTGTAAGTATAAAAAATGTAGGCAGTTGCTTTCTTTTTGCTTTCACGTTGGAAAAAGTTTGGCTAAAATTACTAAACCTGTTTTAGTTGACGTGACATTTTTGAATTTACAACATTACAAAACACATTGTAAACAAATTGTACCATTCATGATATATAAATTGCTATACCATTCAGGATTATAACATTAGACCAATATTAATTAATTCTTGGGATATCCCACGTTGTACCTATTTTGTTCCTACGTCGATTTTATATTTACATATCTACTTTGAACCTGTTATGAATCTAATTTTGAACCCGCACATTGACTCTACTTTATAACAATAGTTATTCCAGTAGTTATCCGAATAATTATGCCAATCATTATTTCCAGTAATTATTTTTCATAAGGGATATAATAAAACATTTGATATTCATCGGCAGTTAGAATTGCATAAACTGCTACAATGATTTTATATTTCGATATAATTAATAGGGAAAATGCACTACTATAATTGTGGATTATTTTATAGTTTCTCATTTTTTTTTTCTAATTCCAATTAGTTCAATATCTTCATTTAAAAAGATATTTGATAATTGTTTACACTTGATAATGTTCTATACTGTAAAGTTGACAACTTGAGCGTATAAATTGTGCGGAAGAGATTTGCAGAAAGAGAATATAATACTGTCAAGAAGTTTGACTCTTTGAACGCGGAGACGAGCAATCGTCGTTGGTTAGAGGACGAAGTCGTGGTAAATGTCACGAGATTCACACAGGCCATTACGCGCAACGTTATATCATTGCTTTAGTGCGCTTCTTTTTCTTGTGCATCCTAGATATGCAATATCCTCGAATGTGCGTTTTAAGTACGTACTCAAGATCCAAAGTCGTAATGCATATCTAAATTTATAAGAAGTAAGTTATCCTTAAAATATTATACATCATTGAGGTACAATATCTGTCTTACTAACAACATAAGAGTTGTGAGCATAAACTAATTGTAAGCTGATAACAGTATATCGACTTAACGAGAAATTCTATTTTGAAAGAACAAATAATTGTATTCAGATTAATTGCTGTTCTATAGATTTATAAATTTAAAGTCGAAGCAATTTTTACATAGAGCCTCAATGGAAAAATTGCATCGACTTTGACCTGCCCTTAAAGAATGAAATAGAGGTGGTTTTTAAAAATAGGAGGATTTTAAAATCTGAGAATGATGTATGTACATGATCAAAAAAGGGGATGATTTCACCCCTTTCCCCACATGTATAGGGTGAAAGAGTGTATTTCTTGTTTCTTATAAAGTAGAGAATTGATTTGTGAATTTTAGGTTCCCTATTGGGTCGAAAAATCGACTATTTTTAACATTGTCCTTTGATTTTGTTTTACACTTTTCAACGAATTTCTTGTCATCTGCTCAAAATCCTTATAAACTTTATATACACGTACATATGAATATCAGATTGACTTACTATCCAAACGAGTTACAGTGAAAGGTTTTGTCGCCTTATATTCGAATTACGATTCGTTATACTGCACATACGAGTCTAAGTATATCTAACCTCGAAGTCATAGAAATGATTTCTTCACAACGTATTATTGTCGACAAACAAACGGGGTCCATATTGCAAGTGTTGAGCATTAAGGTCGTTTGAAATTCTATTTAATTTCCCATTCTCTAACCCCGATTGAAATAGATATTCTTGATCTCACTTTTCACCCACCACTAATCCATAAATAAAAATATATGTATAGATACATGATAAAATCATACAAGCATGTGAAGAAATGTTTGAAAATTAATTTCGATCGTTATATAGAAATCTGCATTTTAAAATATCACTTTTCACAATATATGGTTAATGGCCCTATTTCACATAGATAAAGAGAGTTATTAATTATATTGTATTATTAAATGAATTAACTAACAAAAATGGTCCAGATCGTTGCAATATACCATGACATGTAGTATTTCAGTTACACTATCAGAATTTATATCTTATCGAAGGTCATCAATCAGATTAAATATTAAGAGTCATTGTACTTAATTTCATTGGAAAATAGGGTATATGTAAAAGAGTTAGAGGTGTAAAGTCCTTTATATTCTGATAGATTATTATTAATTGCGCTTTATCGTTATTTATTAATCCTTTGTTTCACCAAACCTTGAAATAATTACAAGTCATGATTTAACGTATTCAACATAATTCTTCCCTTATTCTATTAACAAAGAATTTAAGTATAATTTCGCTTTCGAAACCAACGCAGTGACTAAAGAGATCCCTACACAGCACCGAAACTTTGCTAATTTATTAAAGATTTACTTGCAAACTTCGGAGTATTTAATTGCAAAGTTTGGTGTATGGTCATGGTAAGCTTACAGTAAGCTTACCCTGTAAGCTAATAATAATTTTTCTCGATAGTTGTAATTCAGATTTTGCGTAATTCGCGCCTCAGGTCTAAGGAGACCTCAAAAGTCCCGTATAGAAGCAATTATGCGTAAAAACCGTCACGCCCCATGGCGGCATATACTCTCATTTTGTATTACAGATATATGCACGCATTTCTTCTTTCAGGGCACCGTCCAGAGATAATATTTCAGCCATATTTATTATACCGTCAAACGTTTGAAAGTAAAAGTGCATTAACAGAATACATGTTTATCTTTCGTACAAAAATAATTTTCTCATTCAAATTATTATTCCATGTGTGTTGATTGGATTCACATTCTTTGTTTATATGTATTAATATTTCTTCGAGTCATTTGTAATAAATTAATAATCGATACAAAAGATCGTATAAAGGAAAAATAAAAATTATTTTACTATATATTAGTTCGAATACATTTTGTTTGTTTTTATAATCTATACATTTAGCAATTTATTGCTTTAAGGGGGAAATTTTTAATAATAATTAATTATCAAGAAAATAATTTTAATTAAGAATATTTTTAGACTGATGTTATTTGCCGTTGAAGTTTTATCATAAAATTCATAAATTACTTAATAATTACGCCAATAAAACACATCTGTCTAAAATACATCTTTTAGTAATTTATTTTCATACTTATTTTCTGCCTAATTATGAAATATATAATTTTTAGTAGTACAGTTTTTCTCCAGAAATGTGTTGGTTTACTTGGACGACTTCTTCGGTATAAGAAACGGGCTTGAAGACCTTTAAAAGCATATAAATTACAACTCATACAAGTCCTTTATCGACATTATGTTGTGAAAGTCCTTTTTTGCCAGATGTTTATGTCCATAACGGCGAAAACCTTTCCGAACTAGTTTATGAATTTAAAAAATTTACTGATAAGAAGGTGTAATTATAGATATATGTAAATAGATAAAATAAAAATAAAGAAAATGATGATGATGAATATGGGAATATGGCAAATATAAAAATTTATCAGAAATTAGATTAATTAGATCAGTACCTACATTAGAGCGAAATAAAGATTAACATTTTTTTTTGTTACAGTTATCTTGTCGATGATTCTCGACAATCAGAATGGTTTTGGATTGTGCAGCGCGGGGGAACCTGGCGTAAGTATTTCCACTCTTTTATTTTTCTTATCGTTGAAAGTAAACTGGTTAGAAACCAGAATTTTCTAATACACCTTACTTAAGAATTACCTGGCCGCCCTTCATTTTAGATACATAAATGCAAGTGATTGAAAAAAACAAACATTAAAAATGTTCAATTTAATGAAAACGTCGCAGGACGTTACAGTAATGAAAAAAATAATTTTGTTTAAAAATTAGAATGTTTGTTCCAATGTAAGGGTTTCATTGCACGATTGCAATTCATAGGCGAAATCGATAGCAAAATATTATTGGCTATAAAAATTTGATAACTAGTTTGCAGAAACTTGATAAACTTGTTTAATCATTTCTCGTGTCAATGTGGTAATTTTATATTATATAATCAATGATTTTTTTTGCATAATAAAGCAAAAATTTGCTATTTAATGTGATAAAATGTATTCGAAAACTTGTTTTATAGTATTTGGATTTCGACAATCTTCCGGAGACCAATTTCTCATGTCAAGGGAAGGTGATCGGAGGATATTACGCGGACGTCGAAGCAGGTTGCCAGATGTTCCATGTTTGTACTATTGGTCAAAAAGGTAACTCCATAAATTATCCTAATTCAAAATTGATTGAATTGATTAAGATTTCGAAACTTTAGGAATAGATGTTAATATACTATCAAATGTCTCTAATTTTCTAACATAATTTTCATTTTAGGTAAAATAACAGTAATTAACTATTTTTTCTCTAAACTAATTAGCACATTTCTATCCTGAAATTTAAGAACATTAACACAAAATACTATTATTTCTTAAAAAAAAATTTGTAATATTTTACATCATTCACTAGGCACTTTGGTGTAGGTCAGTAACATTCACAGACGACCCTGGCATTCTCTCAAGATTTATCGAACGATTATCTAGAATATTGACTGGTGTCTGAAGTCAGAAAATACACTCCACTGGAGAGCTTTCAATCGATAGAAAGACAGATCTTTGAATCAGTTGACGATCACTTTCAAGCGACCAAATTGTTCTCGATAAACCACTCTTTAGTTTATAGTAATGTGTCATACATGACAATATACATGTCCTTTAGTTCTATCTGATAAAAAGTGACACTAAAAGTCAATAAGTAGATTTCTATTATTTTTGAGGTGATATACAGATAAAAATAGAGTCTCTAACAATGTAGAATGTCAATTCTAGGTCCGCCCTATTGGATCCACCATTTTTTAATTTTTATGTAATTAGAGTCACTAAATCCAAGCAGTCACCCCCCAAGGACTAAATTTGAAGTTGGATTACGTTTTTCTCTTTGGAAGACAACCTACCATATGGCAGTCTTTGCATTCGAATTATTTTTTTGTGTAACTTTAAATCAGATAATAAATTTTAATTTAAAATTAATATATTATTTATCATATTATATCTATGGTACGTTTTACAAAGGTTTATTAATTTCACTATGCTCAGCACATTTTATATATGGTGTAAAATATATCTTTTGGCACATTTTAAAACCGACACTTTTGCTTTTCGCAGTATATATCTAATCATTAATTTTTTTTTAAAGAAATATCTTAATTTTACTAATGTACATCGAATTGCTTGGCATGAAAAGAACTTTCCGAATAACGATGTCTCCTTTATTCTGAGACTTGGTTGCAGATGAAATAATGGATATAAAGTTCCTTTGTCTAAATGGCACCGTATTCGACCAGGAGACCAGAGTCTGCGAAAGAGTCGATGAGGTTGACTGCAGCAAGAGCGAAAAATTCTACAACCTAAATTTGGAACTTTATGGAAACAGCGCTGTGACCCTCAGGCACGTATAAATTTCTCAATAATAATAAGAATTCCTTCTATGGGTAAATAATCAATTTCCGAAATACATCCCCGGTACTCCTAATACGAAATAACGCCACCGCTCATTCTCCTTTTTGCAGGGTTGAATACCTATCATTTAGCATACCAATTGGTTTTCATAACGGTTTTACTCGAGCCATATAAAAAACGCATTCACGTATAAATTATATGCGCTTTTAGTTCCCCAAGGCGTTAATGGTATTTACCTTATACACCCGCATGATTCTTATCAGATATTTACTAACAAATATCCTGCCACTAATTTATTCGATAAATAAATTGGCTCTTCGAGATTAACGGCACCAGTATCTCTATAGTGCATTCCTCGAGTCTGTATTAATAATTAATTATGGCCACTTGGAAGCTCATATTTCTTACTCAGTTTCAAGAAGATTATTTATTAATAAATGCTTCTGCATCGGATGATAACTTTCTGTATCAATTTATTAAGAAAAGATATCTTATGCTTTTTCATTTTTAATTAAGAAAATCAGAACAAAATAAGATATCATTAATTTTATCCCTATAAAGCACAAGATATTTTTTAACTTTAGGAAAAAATTAAGAATTATTTTTTTGTGATTAAACAGCCTGCATGAAGGAGAAGATGACGATCTACCACCAGAATCCTTAGAAGAACATCAGCTTCGAACATCTTCAGCAAGACCAATTAGTACCACCACAACAACCTCAAAACCTAGTCAATCTTCAACGACACCTTCTAGCACCAATTATCAACACTCAACTGGATACCCTCAAGTCTATCAACCTCAGTCAGCGTTTCCATCCGTACAATCGAATCCTCCCAAGTCTATTTATGATGATAAAAATGGAGGATATCATCATCAATATATTTACCATAATGACGAACGAAATGATAATCAAGCGACGTCGTATCAACTTTTTAGTAATCAAGGTGTTAGTTCAACTACACCTACTCCTCACGTGCATCAAGTCAGATATAGTTCAACTCCAAGTCGTCAAATCATTCACAATGAACCATCCACTGTTACTCCCTTATTCCATACATCATCGACTATTCAAACTTTGCTAAATAACAATGCCAATGGTCCTTCTATAATTAATCCAATCTTCCACAATCATGGAATTGGCAGCACTACCGAACATTATTCTGTGCACAATAATAATCCTAGGGAAACATCAGAGTATCAAGACAATGATGAAGAACAAGATGAACGGGACGAACATGATGACGAGCATGTTGAGCATATTGAACACGAGGAAAGAAGGAGACTTGAACCTTTACAGTCAACGAATAAAGGAAAAGTGAGTTTGTAACGAAGTGTTTCGTTAAATCAAGAATTCCCCTGGAAATTAAAATGAATATTGAAATAAGGTGTATAGCGAGGGATAAGGTTTTGTGAGGCAAGTGGTTGTCTTTCTTTCTTCTCACATAGGTTTGTCTCGTTTCCCTTTTCTTTCGTTCAACGTTCTGAAAATGAGACTCTTGTCAAGTCTTATTAGAAGTGATTACGCGCATGATTAATCGGCGTCTAGAGTCACGTGGTCAACGTCCCTTCCAGTTTTCCATTTAGGTGCTGACCAGTTGGGGTGACAAGGATGGACGTATCTGGATTTCTGGTCTACAGAAGATGGATGGAGTATTTTTGAGAAAAGCGTGCCTGGTTCCGGAAAGTGAGATTTCTTAGACTTTACTTGTTGGTTTGTAATTGTGTTGTGAGTTTATTTGGGATTTATCTCTTGTTGGCGATTTCTCATCGGCGGCGTTTCCGAACATCGTTGGCGCCAAGCTGTCTACCGAAGGTTCGTTACATTTAAATCCACGGCGTCGTTTCGAATGATTTTCGCATCATATTTGTTCTTGACGGGATTCCCCCTTAGATTGTGTTTTCTTAAAGGTTTTATGAGAATATTTAAGTATAGGGAAAGATGCGTAATTGATAATAATTTTTAGCGATTTTAAATATTATTTCGTTATCTGAGTTTCCATGTAAACTGCCGCCAAAATCGTCAAAGGAAAAGGATGGAACGATGGTATTCTGTTTCTTTATTATCGTTTTTTTAAATGAATCCATTTGTCTTCTTTGTTAATTGTTTTTTGTTGAGTTTATTAGTTGTTTTATTGGAGTGAGTGTATTGAATCGTTAAAAGATTCCATCATTATAAGCTAAAATTACTAATGACTGTTAAAAATTAATCAAATTTCATATTTTTTTTAGGTTTCCAAGTTGTCGATATCACCAGTTCCTCAGCAGGATCAATCGCGATTAGTGATTCAAGCAAAGGCAAACAGTCAAACATCTCAACTTCACAGAATATCAGTAAATTTCCTACCGACGCAATCGTCTATCCAAACAACTTCGAGAACATTCTATCCTACCTCTAGAACATCTTCGAAGCCTCAAAAGACGTCGAGTCAGCGAATAATGCAGCAACACATTCACGTGACACCTCTACCAATAATACCAAATTTAAATCCTCGTCAAGTAACTATTAATTTATCACCGCCAGATATTCAAAAAATCGTACAAAATCCACCACCTTTATTGCCATCTCAATCGAGAGTGATTGTAACCGCAAAGGCGAGTGTCAGTGATGAATCTGGTCGTCCACTTAATGCAAGTGAACTAATAACTCTTCCACTACCAACAATTCCCTCTAGTTACGATGACTACAAAGAAGGCGACGAATCCTTCGATCCATTTTATCGAGACGTACCAAAGATTCACAGTAATCAAAGAATCGTTGTTAGCAGTAGATCATCGAGATCTCCAAATAGGAAAATTATTTTTCATCGACGCAAACGCGATGCATCAGAAAATAATAGCCAACACGTCCAGAAATTTAGTCAAGTCAAACCGAACGATACGGAAGTCTCTTCAATCGTAAGAAATTTAAGAAAGTTAAAAAACATATTTTTTGCTACTGATTTTGACGATTCCGATGAACCAAATTACTTCAATTCCGAAGAAATTCCTACAAACTTTGATTTGAAAAATGATAACACGGATTATTTGAATGATAATGTCAAATTAGCAACGAAAAATTCTGTTGGAATAGAATTTACCGAAAGAGATAATAGAAAAATTAATGAAGATTCTCGAAACGGAGAGAACGGAAAGACGAAAACTACAAAGCTCTCTACGATAATAAATCCTGTAGTTAATACAAAGAATCGAGAAACTGAATACGTTGACAGCAATCATCGAAAAGATAAAATAAATTTAGAAACTACTGCTTCTGATGTAAAAAATTCTGAGAATCATAAAAATCAGAAAAACTTTACCAATGATCGTTTAAAAAGTATTAAACCTTCAGGAGTTATTGAAATTGCTGCTGATGAACCCAAGACACTGGAGATTGAATATTACGATGAGGAGGAACATTCTAACAAAAATCAAGAAGAGAAAAGTATAAAAACCAGTGACATTAAAAACACTACAGAAGAGCTGGATGTTGAGGAATATGTTTACGATCCCGATGAATTATATTTCGAAGAATTTTATACAACTACCAAAAATACAAAACTTGAAACAACTACTACAAATAATCCGAAAATTGTATCAACTACGACTCCAAAAACTGAATTAACTTCTAAATATCCAACCAATATTACTACTAAAAATTCAAAAATTAATTCAACTACCACTAAGCCTTCAAAAGATGAAACAACTACACCTTCCCTGAAATTCGATTCTAGTAATAATTCTTCAAATAAAAAAATGCAAGATTCATCAATTATTTCAAATTACACTAAAGGAAAGGAAATATTGGATTTAAAACCAATTTCTGGACTTGATATTGCGAAAAACGGATCTGATGTAAATATTTCTAAATCAGACAAAGATGAAAGTAAATCTGAAAATTTAAACAAAACCAAAGATACTGTTTCACCAAATTCTGCACTGAAGAAAGAATCCGAAGAATTACTAGAGACAAAATCATCGTCGAATCGTAAAAAATCTAAATCTTCAGAAAGCACACAAAATTCAGAAGAGAAATTTATAAAATCCAAAAGACCTCATTATTCCGAAGAACAAGATGAAGAAGAAGAAATTGACGTATCAAATAAACCAAGACGTAAAAATAAATACATTTCAGATCCTGATTATTTAGAAGATGAAGATTACGATGATTATGAGGAAGAGCGTAGATTAGAACGACGAAAACAAAATAGCAAACGGAGAAAAACACATTCCCAAAGCAGAAGCCGATTAAGGGATTACGATGATGATGATAACTTTTCACGATCAAGAAGTTCTTCAAGTCGGCGACCTTCTTCGCGAGGCAGAAAGACTGATATTAATAGAGACAGAGGAAAATCCTATCAGAATATTAGAAGAAGAAAAAAACCCATTTCAGTTGAATCTGATTCAGAAGAATTAGAATATCCAAGCGAAGATTATAACTCAGAGGAATTGAAAAGTACATCTGTAGATGACGATTGGTATGAAGATGAGCTTGAACGAAAAAGAAACCAAAAGAACAAAGGTCGAAGAAATAAGGGTTTACGGTACGATGATCCCCCTCGAAGATCCAGCAGTCGCAGAAGAAATCAAAGCAGAAAATTTAGAGATGAAGATATAGATTATGATTCTCAAGAGGCATCCACTTTATCCAGTGGTGAGGATGATGATTCTTGGTATTATCCAACATCAAAGGAGTTACCCGATGATTCACGGAAGGAAGATGATTACACAGAAGACTCCAGGAGTCTTGATGATGTGACAACATCTGCAGAAGATCTTACAACGGAGACTTCTACCGAGGAGGAAACTCCTTCCGTTGAAGAAATAACAACTTCCATTCTAGAGGAAACATCATCTGCTAAAAATGATATTAAAGATGACATAACTACTAAAGAAGTAACAAAAGATGAAAAACCTTCTATTAAAGATACGAGTATTCAACCAGATGTTTTTGAAGTGACTGAAAAGGAATTATTTGAGACAGATCCAGAAGAAGGAAAGACTGAAGGAGTGCTAAAATTTACAGACGAATTGCCACAAGATGAACGATTGGATGCAACAACCGAAGTGACTATTGAAAATCCAATGAAAGATCATAGTCCAATAAAAGACATGCAAGATTATGTCGATGACAATTATGAGCCGAACAATTATAAAGGTACAAAGAAAAATAAAGACATATCCGCAGGACGAAATTCAACTCAAGTACAGCAAAATAAGGATCTTGAGTTAGGAACTAAGGATACAAATTCGAGAACAGGAGAGCAGAATGACAAAAATTTAGAAGAAACAAAGGTTGAAGTACAGGAAACGACTACTCAAGCTATATCCACTACATCGAGATCAACAAGAAGAGGTACACGACCCACAACAAAAGCAACAGCTCGAACAACTCCACCGAAATTATTCAAACCTTTAACTGGTAAACGAAATTATCTCTACATTCCACCCACGACAACTCCACTTCCTGTTGTCATCAAACGAAGAATTTCCCTCGTCCATCCTCGACCTGCAAAACCTCCAAAATCCTACAATGAACTTGCTCCAAAACCAGTCATCAGAAAGAAGCTCTTGGAAGCAAGAAAGTCCGTCATTGAAGTCACACTAACTTCCACAACATCAGAATACGAAAAAGAAATTAATCTCGAACCCTTAGCGACTTCTGAAGTTTCAAAATCCGAAATAGTAACGGAAGACAATTTGTCAACTACGTCGGAAGCAGTTCTTCCCCAAAAGGAAATTGAAGATAATTTAGAGTCACAAAAGGAGGATAACTCAGAAAACGACAACTCGGAAATAATTCCTTTTGACACTGACGATAAAATAGATGTGGAGAATAAAATAAAAAAGGAAAGAATCGAAAATGAAGAAAAGATAACAAATGACGAGCATGAAGATGAAAAAACGGAGACGGAAAAACAAAACTTGAAAGAAATCGACGAATCGGAAAGAAATGACACTACACCTTTAGTAGAAAATCAAACAAACTATCCGTATTTACTTTCAAGATTATCTACTACTCCTTCGACAAAAACAAAAAATGAAGATGCTACAAAGAGGCCTGAAGAAATGAAGAAAATTACGAATTCTCCACTTCACGATACAGATACTCCAGTAACTACTACAACTTCAAAATCACTTGAATCAAAATCAACTCCATCTTCCAATTTTGAACCAAAATCCGAATCCACAAAACCCGAAGTAACTCTCCTTCGAACACCGACAATACAAAAAACCTCCAAAAGAACAACAAAAAAGGAACCACCAAATTTAGGTGGATCTTATCAAGGATTTAATTGTCTTGGAAAGGAAATGTATCGTTTCTATGGGGACAAAAGAGATTGTAGATTATTTCACTATTGTTCACCAGGATTCACGTCGACGCAGGTCCTTGACTTCAAATTTGTTTGTGAGCAAGGAACTCATTTTGACGAGTCAACTCAAAGTTGTAGGCACAACTATAAAAATTCCGAGTGCACTGTGAGAATTTTCTGGTGACTCTTTTAGTCGATAGACATTTTCAATTTATTATTCCCCCAATGAAAATGACAAATCGGTAAACAAGGATTGCATTAAAAAGTATTGGAAAATTCCTTTTTGATAAATATACTAATTCCTTAGGAGGCTCTTAACAGGATAAAATTTGTAAAATCCGTTCAATACTTTTTAATGTAAGTTTTCTGGCCGAGAAATATTTTTCTAAACTTGTAAATCCCATAAAATATCTTAGTTGTAATAACACGAAAAAAAAGAGAAGAAGTTATTGAGGATTTTTAGATAAGATATATTTATATATTTTTTATTTTATGGCTTCGTTTTTAACGGCCTTTTCGTTTCCTAAGCTTTGCCATAATTTTCATTTGTTTCTACACGGATTCAAATTAACTTGACAGTGAATGTGAATCCGTGTAGATGATCAGTATTTTTTTTCCTAGATCAGCTCAACGAGTCGTATCGACTTAAGAAACTTTGTCATTTCTAAAAGCTGGATAGACTTTATTTAATAAATGTTCTATCTCTAAAGATAGCATTCAAAGATACGATCTTTAATTTTAAAAAAATCACATACGATACAAAACTGCGAAGATCGTACAGTATTTTGTACAATGGATAAGATGATAAAAAAAATAATGCTCAAATGCGAGATTAAATTATGTTAACACATATTTTCGTCCATCGATGTGAAGAGAGAGTTAATTATAAGAAAGCGACCAGATCGTTCTAAAAGTCAGACTGCTATGCATATATTAAGAAATTTTATATATCTGGGAAAAATTAATATACATATTTTTTTAATTGTAGGAAATTAATAATTTTCTATAAACTGGTTTTACAACGCAAAGTGCTTTCAAAGCAAAGGAAAACAAGTTTTCACGAAAATAGAGGAATAACTTTCTGAATAATAATTTCAACTATCTTCTGAAATTCAATTATTTTTAACGATTTTTATATTTTTTCGAAAATTTAATTTTATCTTTGTTAATTCATTTTTTGATTCAACTTAAAAGATTATTATTAATTCTTTGCATCTAAAGTCTAGATAATTTAGTACCAGTTAAGGTTCGTCTTATATTGCTCAAATGCACAATCGATACGAACGTAATTTTTACTTGGTATTATTTATAATAGTTTTTTTTTTAAAGCGCTTCTGTAACTGCTGAAATATTTTCATATATTTAAATCAGCAGTAAATAAATTCAATGTTAGTCACGTAAAATTAATGTACAGAATATAAAATTATTCGAATTGATTAATTCAGTTAATTATTTGAATAAGTTTTGGAATTTATCTTAATTTTATTAATTGGTATTCAATTTTTAGGACTATTAATTTAATCGATCTTTACACATCAAATGCCGTCAATGTGCAATTTTATTCCTAAAATCCAATTTTTCTTTTTTAATAATTGTAAAAGAAAGTTATAGACAAATTTTTTTTTTTAAATATATAATTTAATTATATTATAAAAAAATAATAAATAATTTATTTTTTTTGTAAATTTTGTAGAATAATTATAACAAATTGGCTATAATTATATTATTTATCAATACGAAAATGTTAACTTTCATTATACTTTTCGTGACATGTACAGGTAAAATATTTTTGCGAAAAAACTCCAAATAAGTAAATTGCAAACAGTTTCACATAGGTATTTTGTATATTTGTAAATTTCATCAATTTTATAATTGATACCTCACTTTTCGATTGTTATTATCGATAAATGAAAAAATAATAGTGTCATAAATTATTATTGTGACATTCGACTGTCATTAAACGTCCATTAGATTTTTTAGGTTTATAATCTTATAGAAATATGTAATATTGTGAAAATGTGTAAATATTGTCTTTCGTGATTTCCAAATTTTCTATATTAAAAATTTTTTGAAAATAAAACTATTTTTATTTTCCCAATAAAAAAAATTGATTCAAAGCACAAGAAAAATTCAAATATTTGCAAATATAAAATAAAAATTAAATTAGAACTAATAAATGATTTTTTAGGTTTTTAATTTGAAGATATTAATTATAAGTTAAATTCAACAAGAAATTGGTAAAAAAAATCATTAAAAACTAAAATTTTTACCTGTTTTAAAGAAACCAATTTTTTTCTTCACTTTAAACGTTTTATGTTCATTTCTTTGTGGAAATCTTCTAATGTTTGTTCCCATCGTTCTTCAAAATAAATACCAAGAAGAAATTTAGAATTCTTTCCTGTATTTATGGCCCATGGTAAATAATAGTCTGTGTACAATTTTCTTTGCCTAGAATTAAATTAAAATAATTTATTTTTTTATTCAGTTTTTAATTTTTATTAAACGAATCAAACAAACAATCACAAAATTGCGCCGAAATCTTTCTGTCGATTGTTTGTTCAGCCATTTATAATTTCGGACAAATTAAAATTTAAACAAATTAAAATTCGGTGAATTGGAATTTCTGTCATTTAAATATTCGGACAAATTAAAATTCGGTTAATTGTAATTTCAGTCATTTTAAAAATTCGATGAAATAAATTTTAAGCTACATTTCCTGTTATTATTACATATTTAAGTGAATTCACCTTGGATAAAGTCTAGCTGCTCCGAAAATTGCTCCGTTTATACACATTGGAAATTGTAATTGCAAAGCTTCTACCCATTTAACAGTAACTTCGCCAAGCATAGTAGTTGGCATTAAAAGCATGGCATGAAAAATATCATGAACCTCGCGATATCTTTGCATAACGTACGATAATTCAAAATCATCTACAAATCGAACAGATTGTCTGGCATCTGGAGAAACATTCTGCAAAAAAAAAAAAAATTTCCAGTCAATTTTTTAAATTCTATCAAATTAAAAAAAATACACAAAATATGAAAGAAAAATTCTTACATTAACTTCCAAAAAAGAAGAGTAAGTTTTCCCTACAGTTCCATCGGAGAGATTTTTAAGAGCCAATAAATCAACAGTAGATGAATGAATTCTTGGCCTTTGATCAAGAATCCGTTGTCCTTCATGTGTATTTTGCATTTGTTTCCAACAATAAATTAATGCTTTTTCACCGGTCGTTTCGCCATGACAGGCAATCATATCGCCTCGATATGGATTCGTTATGGAAATAAAAGCAGAACCTGCTGCTAGTAATGTTCGTTGAAAAGACGTTAAAGGCACGTGATTTTTTGCGAAATCATCCTTATATGCTTCTCGACTGTAAAATCGTCGGACAACGAAACTGCCTGAAACCGAAACAAGGAAAAATAACATTGAAGCAAAAAAAAAACCAATTGAACAAAATCTATTAATAATAATAATCAAAATTTATTAATAATTCCATTTTTGTACAAGCGTAGAAAGTATTTTTTTCCCACTAACAAAAATTTATTGTACAATATTTTACATAGATAATTAATTAATTTACAATTAATTAATAAGCTTCGAAGTGATTTGGTGATTTCAGCCATTTTTTATATGGCACATCATTCTGGTAGTATCATTTTTTTTTTTTTTTTTTTTGCTTTGGTACATGTAGCAAATACTTATTCATACTCGAACCAATATCATTCCATTTCATTCAAACAATTAAAGATTTCAATCACAGAATTTAACGCAGCATAATTAATAATAGAATCGAATAACGAATAATAATGATGATAATTTAATTAAATAACCATAACAATTTTTATCTACACTTCTTCTTCGAAATCTTTTTAATTCGTATTCTTAATATAATATATATACAATTCTGCCTAAAACGAAAAATATATAGAATTGAAATTACAAAACAATAAAATAATTTTTGTCTCTTGATACGAAAATAACTATTAATCGTCGTCCTAGTTAAATAAAATAAAAATTTCAGGCAGTTTTGCATTTTATAATTAATTTAATTTTTATTTTATTTAATTATGCATTTATAGAGGCACTATAAAGTTCAAAATAAGTAAAAAAAAAAAAAAACTACTGATGTATTTAATACTCAATTCTTAAAATTAATTCAATGAAACACTGACGTTATTTTATTATAATTATAATTATAATACTAATGTTTCTCAGATCAGAGTTTCATTTGAAATTTTTGGAAAACAAAAAATATTTTTATAAGAAATATAATTAAATAATACTTAAAATTAATATACACAAATTTGTATGTGATGCGCTCGGAAGAAAGGGAACAAACGAATTTCGCTTTGATTAAAAGTTCTTCTTTTTTTCACTTTCTTCAGAACGCATCACATATTATTTTATATTACTATATTTATATATAATATTTACATCGCAGTATTTAATGCTCATATTGTTATGTCTTTTAAAATAAATGGAGATAAATATGGCATCTGATTCTACACTTCTATGTGTTGGAAACTTCATTGTTTGGATAATATAGATTCAACAAAAGTAAGTATATTTGGTTAGAATATCAAATTTGAAAAAATTATTTTGTCATGGAAAATATGGAATTAAGAAGAAAAAAGTGATTTTTCTTCATTTGTCAAAGGAATAAAAAGTTGAGTAAAAGTTTTAAAGTTAGAATGATTAGTATAAACGAGGTAGGTTTCTGAAATATTTCGAAGAAAGACTAGAAAAGAATAGACTATTGAATGAGGAAGAATGAAAAACTTATTTGGTTTGAGGAGGAATTAGTTAAGAAGAAACAATAAAAGATTAAAATATTCACTAAACAATAAATTTAAATTAACTTTCAATTTTGTATTTAATTGAAAGTAAATTAAAATTTAGTTTGAATTTCACTACTTATATAAAATTTTTAATTTTTAATTTTCAATTAAAAATTAATTACAAAAATTAAAGATGTTGCAAATTAAAAGTTCAATAAAATTTTTCTATTTAGTAAAACAGGCAGGAGCAATAAAATTATTTTCCTATGATATATAATGAAAGGAATTTCTTCCTAGATTTGAATGACATCTACTCTCTTACGTCATTCAGTTATTTGCACATAGTTTAATCACATATTCAATCTTCTAATAATTAATTGTTAGTAATTTAATCTTTCTCAAGATATCTATGAACAGTTAAAAATATTTCAATTAAAAATACAATTTGGCAATTCAAAATACTGTGATTTACTATAGTGCCTCTTAAATGAAGAAACATTTTGAGCAAAACAAAAAAGCTATCAATATTGTATTTTCACTTTTTAAACTGTACAATTTGACTTTATAAAAGCTTTCTTTATACAGCGCGATAGAATTCTTTCGGAAAATTGATGCCTTCTCAAACGAGAAGGATTCTTAGGGATCAAACAATTTCTCCCTTTGAGTCGGTTTCTTCTTTCAAGGGAGAATATTTTGCTTCAGCGGGTTCAACTTTTCTTCGGAAAGTAACCCATGTGTAAATTAAACTACCTATTACACTTAAATTCAATCCTAAAAAGTTGATTAATGAGAAAATATAATCTCCGCCTATTATCATACCGACATAGGTAACACAAATATTTTTTAAACATCCAACAATTGTGGTTGTTAATGCTGAATTATAAATCATGCAAAGAATCACACTATATGAAAGTACGAAGCCCATAATACACGATAGGAAAAATTGAATAATGAAGAGTGGATCACTCCAGTATTTGAACCTAAGTACTTCTTCGAGATCCCTTGTCCACCAAACGACAATGATCGCTGGCAATATCATAAATAGAGAATTGTAGTACATAAGGCCATATTTTCCTAGTTCTTTGGAATCCAATTTTTTCTTTGTGTATACGCCGTTGGCAGCGGTGAAAAAGTCGTTTAAGAGAATAAAGATGTATCCCTCCAAATTGAATGCAAGATCATTGGAAGCAGCCACCAGAGCACCCAAAACCATGGTATAAACACTAACCTGAAGGTAGTGTTTTCAATGTAATAAAATATTTCATAAAAGTTGAAATTTGCGGGACGCATTAATTTCTCAAAAAAATCATTAGTTCAAATTTTTTAACAATTTTATTAGAAAGGCACAAAAAAAATCATGTTCTGAGCTCGAGGTGAGCTACTTTATTTTTTTTTGGGATCGCTGAAACCGAATTTAAAGTCAGGTAAAATTTTATTAAGTAAAAATTCTATTTAAAAAGAAATTCTGTTAGACGATAATTGGAAAAATGAAAATTTGATTGAAAAATAATTATAAAATTTTTTAAACGGAAAATTCTAATCATCTTTATGTCGTCAAAACATGACGACACCCAGATAATAATATTTAAACAGTTGTATGAATATTTTTCCGTTTATGTTAATTATCATAAACTGTCGCTCGAATGCAACACAAACTGTAACCAAAAGAAAAATTCTATTTTTACAAATATATATTAATTAATATAAATTAAAGTAATAATAATAAAAAATATAAAATCATAATTTCAATTTTATAATTATTATTATTATTTTAAATTATAGTTAATTTTTGATTAAATTTTTTAAAATATTTAAATAGATTTAATGGTTTTTAAAATTTCATAATTTTCAACAAATAATTTCAGTAATTTTAGTTTCGTGCTTTAACAATTTTCGTTGCAACTTATCGCGATTTAAAATCCGCTCGTCGTATAATCGCAAAAATTATTAAACTTTTATGTTGTTTCTCTTATCACCGACCTATTTCACATTGTATATTTCAAACAATGTGCATTATATTATGTTCCAATTTTAGATTAAAGTTCAATGTAAGTACAAAATAAATGAATCGCAATTTAAATTGCAATTTAAATTTACTTTAATTAAAAAAAAGACGTTGTTACGGTCAAAATTTTACGGCCGTATCATTTACAATAGTGCCCTTTATGTTCTTAATTGCAATCTTTTGGTTTTTTTTATGTAACTGAGCATATATTTTAATATATCGAATATTAAATAATATATTGATCGTTTTAAAAAAAATCTAGTTTTAATATATGTGAAACTCGATGATTTCCTGAGTTCATTAACTATAATATAATGTTAAATATTGTATTTAATGACTTTAGTTGATAATCGTGAGACTATAGATTTAAAGACAATATTGAAATTCATTATTAAAAAAAAATCAACTGATAAGCTTATTGTTTTTGTTACTTAATTTAAAAGAAAGTTCAATTTTATATCGAGAAAAATATTAGAAATAAATTTTATTTAAATACAATTTTAATAATAAAAAATTTTGAGAAACCTGACTTTTTTGCATTATTTATTGTTCTATATAAGAACATAAATAATATTTTTCAATTTATTTTAAAAAATTTTATATTATATTATCACCCAATTTTGAATTATTTATCATTATTATATTAAGCTTTCAATTATTCTAAACTCGATTATGATGAAGAGAATTGTCAAAAATTTTGAAAAAAGGTAAAATTTATTAAAAAACATGAGTTTTAGGGGTACTGCAATTTGAAATTTGAATTTTTTTTTTTGAACACTGAACATTGAAGACGTTCTAAATGGAAGTAGTACCTGGACGAGCTTTCCAGCTTTGACACCAAGGATATAATATTCAGCGATCATCGTCATTAGAATGCTGAATCTCCTGAGTGCTGTAAACATTGGAAGACTTATCTGCTTTGTTCCACCAAGTCCAAAAACCATATTTCCTATGAAGATGATTGGTAGTGGCCAAATTTTCGTTAATGTATCAGCTTGTAGGTTAGGAAAGTTGACGTATTTGAGTTTTTTACAAATGAAGAGAACAATTATTGTCGTTAACATTTGTCCAATACCGAGGAATTGATATGATGGAAAATCAAAGCTTGTTAACACTGTTTTATTCACCACGGTTATTAAAAACGATGAAATCCCATAAAATAATGCGGAAGCTACACGAGCAAATACAGAGGGTTGTTGTTTTGCTGTCGGCTTCATATTTTTTGCCCACAAAGTATCAAGTATCAACAAAATATATATATATATATTTTTTTTAATTTAAAATTATTTAAATGGTCTAGATAAAATAAAAATGCAACCAAAAGTACACCAAAAGTAACGTACACGGAGATAACCTTATCATCCTCATTTGTTTCTTGTCGTTAAAGTTGTGATGCTCTTCCAGACGTTTTATCTATTTGTCTAAATTAGTATTGATGATCGATGTATAGGAAATTGAGATAATCAATTGTTTCGTAACATTGAACTTGAAATGAAAAAAATTTGATAAAAATTTGAAAAACAGATACAATAACGTGTCACTTATGCTATGAGCCGGCGCCACTTTTGTGCCACTTTGACAAAACTTCATCAGGGACACGAAACAAATAGAAGTGATTTAAGGCCAACGCAAAATGAGCCATGACACCTTACCTTAAGGCCTAAGCACAACATCAACAATTTGAGTGGCTCTGACAAATATTCCATTTCCGAATATTGTTGGAGCCAATCAAATTCAGTGATTCAGTAATTTTAACCAATCAAAATAGAGTCTCTTATAGCAAATATGTCTATGAAAAAAATATAACCTCTTTTTAAACAGCTGATATCGCAATGAATTTTATATAATTCACGTGTTATTTTGTAAATAATTTTTAATATTTACCGAATTGCGTATATTATGTTTGGATTAGGAAAAGGTCCAATTTATCTTGCTGTAATTTTGGGATTTGTTAACGGTTACTTTTGGTGGAAACCATTATTCGAAGGAAAACACTTAAAAAAAGATTTACCAAAACAAGAACTTGACAACACTTCTGTATCTCAAAATGTAATATATTTTAAATTCATAAAAAATAATACATTATTAATTTAATATAATAATTTATTGTAGGGATAAAGCTGCTAAGCAACGTAAGTTTGCTCGTTACAGTCTTATAACTTTCTTCGGATCAGGGTTTATAACGCTATGTATTTTTTATAAGTAAGTAATTTTTATAAAAAAGTAAAAACACTCTCTCTATCTTAGAATCTCTTTACAGATATGAATATCTTCCTGCAATAAGAAAATGGAAAAGAAATCGTCATGTGAGTCAAGCTGAGGAACTTTTACAAATACAACAAAAGAATGAAGAAGAACATAGAAGTTAATTTACGATGTAAGTTGATAAAAGAAAATTTCTAAAATTTAACTTCCGTTTGATAATAGGTATAGAGTAAATGTGAATAAAATATTATTTTTAGCTTATATTTAGACATATAATAGATTCATGGTACACGTATGTCCACTAAGTTAACCTAATAAATTTTTCATAACAAAAATTTTTCAATTATTCTTCATATTTATTCTTTAAATTTTCCTCCGTAGTAGGGAACATGTTGAAGAACTGTTTTCCAATCTATAATCCATAATGCTGCCAGTCCGGAAGCTGCACCGTACGTCATAAGTGTAGGTGTCCTAAAATAATAAATTTTTAATTATTTTTAAAAAATTTTAATTAAACTTTCATCCTTTGAAACACGCACATTTTTCAATGCGTTGCGAAAAACGTATTCTCTCATTATCGTTAAAAACTTAAGTAAAAAAAACAAAACAACTTCGAATTTTAATAGTCTAGCAATTATATAACCTCTCCACTTTAACAAATCGTTAATTTGTAAATATGAAATACAATTTTAATTAAATTTTTTTTTTGTTTTAAAATTAACAAATAATACAGGCTTTTTGAAATAAAACTAAATTTATTATATAAATATCAGAAATAAAAAACTAAATTTATTGATCTTACCATTTAACAGCTAGTTCAACGTGTTTCTTTCCTAATTTCATTTTCGTTTAAAGTCTTCTTGAAAACGGAAATAATAAATTTGTGTAGTCTTTGAATACTAAATTAGAATATAATGTTGAACTATTTATTTAATTATTTCTAAAAAATTAGTGTCAAACTTTAACAAAGTTGAAGGTTACAAATTTTACTAGCAGACGACAAATAATTTTTCTACTACAGCGCCACTGCTGTCATTTTGTTGAACTTCATTGACAGTTTTGAAAATGAAAGTTTGTTTATTGTTTACTTCCTGTTGTTTTTTATTTTACAAACGTAAATTAATTACTCAACAATGTAAATTGTTGAGTAAACAATTGAGAAATTGTTTATAATTAATTAAATTATATAAAACCCAATGTTGTTAAAGTGAGAGGATTTAATAGTAATTTTCTGTTCTAGTTTATAGGTTATGTTATTAAATACAAATTTTTAAAATATTTTTTTTAATAACAAATTATATTTTAAGATATTAAATTCGGCATTTGGTAATAATTTACATATGCATTTTTTTTTTTTTTTTTGAGAAAAATATGTAAACGTTTTTAAATGAGTAAACAAAACAAATTTTTATTTATATATAAATAATGTAATTTTTCTTAACAATTGCTAAATTGACATAATAATTTAAAGGAACTTCTGTGTTTTTGCAGTTGTACACAATACATTGCGCTTGCGTTATATTATCGACAAAAGCAAGAAGCGGTGACAGGTTTTCGAACGAAAGAAGAATGAGGCAATGTTTGTTGAAACGGGAGCGGAGCAACTCCGCGTCCCTTACATTAATTTACAATCGAGAAATTATTTCATTAAAAAAAAAAGTAATTATAACAGAAAAAAATAAAACAGTGTGCCTTAAAAATGCAAAATTCGTAACAGTGTGAAATCCGTCGATCCGCCAGATAAACGACCTTGCGGACGACAGGAGTTTAATTTTTTTTTTTTTATTTATTTATTATTATTGGTGAGCAATAAAATTGAAACTGGTTGTGATATTTAAAAAGTTTCAGTGATAAATCGTATTGTAAAAGAAAGCTGTCAACAAGAAAAAACCCCCGTAAATATGGCCAATTTACCTGGAAGTTCAACAACCGCTCTTCCAAAACCTCCAACAATGTTGGAGCAATTGCTCGAAGAAATCAATTTTCAAAGGACAAAAGAAATGCGTCAACTACTCAAGGATGGTAAGTTTTAATCTGCGTGTTGGGATTTCCCCTTTGGGAGGGGTTTTGAAATCTGGCAAAAGTTCATCAACAAATGTCAATATAGTATAGTTGTCGATAATTGACAATTTACTTTAATCAATTTCTGTTTTCTTTTGTTTTATTTATTATAAACAATGCTGTCTTTTACTATTGTTTACAACGTTATTATTATTTGATCAATAAAATCACACAAAACACACACAATTCAACAAAAATTAACGAGATTGTATGCCGCAAAAAATTTGCGTCAAATAAAACTTTTTTTTTTTAAATATTAGAAAGTAACATTTTTTTATACAGTGATACCAATCTTTTAAAGAAAAATATTTAAATTGTAATTAAAAAATTCTTTTTTAAATATTACTAATAATTTAATAACAAATTTACGGTTTTTTTTTAGTATGGAGTATAAAAAAAATGATTTACACAACTGAAATGAGTCATAATTACAAATTTTTCTTTACTTTACTTGATTAAAAAATATATTATTAAATATTTGCTAAATTAAAAATAAAGAAAATACAAGATAATAATTTTGTGTAATTTTATTTCGATGTGCAAAAGTGTCTATTCTAGAGGGTAAATTATTGAAATTTGTGTAATACACAAGTTGACAGTATAATTATTATGTAAATTAATTGCTGTGTCTTTGGTATATATATGTATTAATAACCAAGGTTGACGATGGAAAAGGAAAATTTAAACTCAATTTAAATATATTTCTTTTTTTTAATCTTATATTTATTTTATTTTACAGATTCGGGATTTGTGATGTTACAAGGCACTACATATTGGACGGATCTTTTTGTTCGGCATTTTCTTTTTCAAGCTGAGCACACAATTGACGGTGATGATCTTCTATTTTTTGTGAGGAAAAAACATGTTAAGACATCATCGAGATATTTACCAAAATTTGAGACAGAAGTGAATGTTTTTCGAAAAGACAGCAAAAAATTGCCAATCGGTGATCCTGATATTGATTGGGAGGAAACTGTTTATCTTAATTTGGTTGTTCATCAGTTTGATTACACACTAACACTCGCTACATGTACACGTACGAGCCCAAAGGAATTACAAGTAAATGCAATAATATTCTCCTTTCTTTGTATGAAGAAAGTCTAATCTTAAACCGCGATATTATTTTTTCTTTCTTATTTTACGTCTATCGCTTTTGTTTACCTCATATCTCACTTTAGAGGAACTTTATTTTTCTTGACTCATTATTGCAATATATATCATATTATATATTTTTGGAATGATTTTTTCTTTTTTAACTTTTTTAAAAATTATTTCTATTTTTCACTTACAAAATTAAAAATTCAAGAGGTTTTTTTTAACTTAAAAATTTTAATTTATTTGGAATAGTTTTAATTGAATGTTATTTGTTTGAATCAAGGTATTGCGAAGGCATTCGCAAAAAGTTTACGCGAGTCCCAGTCGTCGACGTATGGACGCAAAAGGCGATCTTGAGGAGATGACGTATCCACACATCTGCTTTATGGTAGATAACTTTGACGAAGTCTTCTGTGATATACTAGTCAGGGATGGCGAAATGGTGTGCGTTGAATTAGTCGCCTCCGATAGAAATGGTGCTATTCAAGGAGTAATATTCCTCGGATCCATCAGATACGATGCATTGAAAAAAGTTTACGATGCAAGGGTAATTCTTTTTGTTCTCCCAAATAAATATTAATTTTTATAATCAAATTTTATAAAATAAAATTCTTTTTTAGTCGAGCCTCAGCAGCAAAGTGGCACAACGAATGACGTTCGGTCTCTTTTCGGGCGCAACTTCTCAACGAGTCGAATTTGTCCGTATGAAAGGACCCCAAGGTATTATATTTTTCAAAATTTGTTTAAATTTTCTATTTAATTAGATTTAAAAGTCTTTTTTATACTTTCATTATTTCTTTTTTTTCATAAAGGAAAAGGCCACGCAGAAATGGCAGTAACGAAACCAAAGGGATCAGGTGCCGAGACACCGACATCGGAGCCTGGATATTGTGCAACTGATCTTTGGGACGCAGACTGGGAGGATGCGGAGGATTTATTTATGTATCGTCATCAGCGAAGACTCTCAGATCCGAGTGCAAATTTAAATAATTTTGTTCGTGGTGGTTGGCGAACAAAACCTGATTCAGCGGCGACAAAAGCGAGATCTGAAAATGAGGGATTGGACTCGATGGCAAATGGACTCAGTGAAATTGAAGCCGGAGACGTTCGTGACGGTAACTAAAAGCTGGTTATTAATTATTTGCTCTTTTCAAAAATATTCTTTCAAAAAATAAATAAATTGTTCAAATTTCTCAAAGAGCAAAATTAATTACCTCTTGGAAAATTTAATTTTTTTAAACGTTTGTCATTGTCTCTTTATCTCTTTCTCTCTCTCTTTTTCTTTTTTTTCAATTTAATTTTCATCGGGAAATTATAAGTTGCAAGGAGGAAAAAAAACGAGTCGATGACGTTCGTTTATCGTCACTATACACTTTTTATCTCTAACTTCACTTTGTTTCACACCTTTTTACGAAACTATTATTGCATGTGCGTTTTTTAAGTGTTGTGCACAATATTATATATCTAGATATAATATATTCCTATAATAATGACAAAATACACAGGCTCTCTGCTCTCGCTGTTCATTTGTAAAACAATATTTAATTAATTTATAATAAAATTCATTCACATTAAAATTAGTTTTAAATTAAAATTTCAAATATTAGTTTTCTAATGAACAGTTTCAGAGCACCATGATATACATCCATGGTTTTTCTTCTTGTTTGAGTAAATTTATTTTTCGAACGCCCCTGTGAATATTCTTTATATTTTTTAAAATAACAAAAAATAATTAAATGTATATAAAAAATCATTTTCGTTATTTGAAAATAATTATTTATTTTAAAAATAAATTTCATGTAAAATTGATTATAAATATATATTTTCCTTATAATATTAATTTCATTGTAATATAAATTTCATTATAATTTAAAATTCATTATAATGTAAAATTCATTGTATTATAAAAATGTAATTATATAATATAAATTCATTGCAATACCAAAGTTCATTTGTAACATAAAACACATTAATTCATATTAAGAATTCACAGAGGCTTTCGAGAATTGTATTTCCGGTTGCAAATTGACACTTTTAGAGACGTTTAAACGTGTGAGGAGTTCAAGTTTTGTTGCACTTTTTATATAGTTATTTAAATATGATAAAAACACTAGTGTTTTATAAAGTCGTGTTGGGTATGTAAAATATAAAAAAGAAAAGCGCGAGAATTCTTAATAGAGAGCGGAAAGAAGTGCACCGTTTTGAATACACGCGAGAAGAACCACCACTATCACACACGAAAAAAAAAAAGTCCGTCCTTTTTGGAGAACACATGTCTTTAATAATAATTATTGGCATGTCATTTTTCCGGCTGTTTCCTTTGTAGCTGATGATGGACAGAATTGCAGTTGGGGCGGCCGGGGCTTATCATCGTCATCATCATCATCATCAACACCTCACTCACCAGGAAATCGCAGAAGTCCCAATTCACGACGCAGAAAATCGCCACTTCTTTCAAGCCGGCATTCTGGTCGGAAGCAAAGGAATTCAAGGGATCGATCCGGGAAGGAGTGCCAGAGTTCACCAAATCACAAGAAGACCTACCGCGACACTCGCGGTGAGTGTGTCCTCGCGAAAACAAAAAAAAATAATAATAATCTCACTTGGGTTCGTTGAGACTCGCTGGAATCATTTATGTTTTTATATTCATAATCGGTTTAGTTTGCTTAAATAGCAATACGAACAGTCCAAAGTATTTTTTAAAACATGGATGTGTATTAATTTTTGATTTGATTTTTTTTTATCTCAATAATTCCTACTTTTTACGCATTTTTCCAATTAACCAATGACTAACAATTTATAACAAAGCTTTATTTTAATCTTTTTTTAACTATTTTAACAATAAAATCAAATGAATGAATAATATAACTTTTTTTTTTATATAATGAGTCTCAGTGAACCTTATTGGAGAACGTGACGAAACAAATGAGAAAAAAAAATGTAATTAACAACCGGCAAACGTTCAGCAAATAAAAATGTAGAATTTGTCTCATGGATTTCGCGATACAGGAATCAAGAATCATCAGCAAACAATAGAGGTTGGAAGTGAGCTTCTTGTAACCACTGGAGCATCACTAACTGAAGACAATGTGAGACAAAAACTCGACGCTGGAGCAATTCTTGTTGATGGCAAAGAAGAATTACCACTCGACTACGATGATAATTTGCGGAATCATCAACAACGTCCATTTCTCGATGAACGGATGTCATTCGAGGAACAAGAAGAAGAAGAGGAGGAGCATCAAAATAAAATTTTACCACCAAAACTTGATGGAAGAAGATTGAATCTTGATGTTATTCGTGGCTATGGTAGTGATAGTGACGATGCATTTATTAAAAAAAAGAATCATAATAAAAGCGAAAACGAATTTAATGGAGCCAAAGATAAAAATGCAAATGCAAAATTAATGCGATCGCAAAGTTGTACACATAGACAAAGTGCAACACTACCGAGACCTCGACGACGACGAGCTTTTTCAGGAAGTTTCGCCGAGAATCCTTTACCTCCACATCGCGTCACTACTGATGGTACAGCAATCTACTATTGGTGCGAGCTCCCGCGCCGCCCCGGCTCTCAGGGTAAATTCTTCCCCGCATAAAAACCTCTTTAATCAGCATCCTTATATATATATATATATACAAAATAATAATAATTTATAAACCGCGCATCTCGCTGATTATCATACCCTAGACTTCAGAATCAGATATGCTAAATTCATCAAAAATATCGAACAAATTGGATTATTTAATGTATCTTTTGTCAATGAAAGCTTTTTTTCCTCGGAAAATTTCCGCTGATAAAAAAAATATATAATCAGAAATATGAATCATAACAATAGATTAGTAAGAAAAAAAAGAATTCAAGAATTACTAATTTTAAGAAAAATTGTTTGAAAGTGGATTTTGAATTTTGATTATGCATTTGTAACAAAAATGGAAGAACGTTAAAATTACTATAATTTTTATAGGCATAATTTTAAAAATTATATTTTTGTATTTAAAAAAATATTTTTTTGAAAATTTTTTTTTTCTAAAATATATATTGCAATTGATATTTTTAATGGTAAGAAGAAATTACCATGTTTATTGAAATTGAAACAATAAGATTCAATAAAAAAATTTTACAAGCTTTCATTAACAACAAAAAAATAAAATTGATTTCATTTGCTTCATGTTGTGTTGATAGTGAGAAAAAAAGTCTTAAACACATTATGAAGTTGCTTTTCATGTTACTTTATTAATGGCTCGTGTGTATTTATACATTCATTAGTAACTTTATGTGTATTTAATTATTCAACTTAATGGGCTTTAAATTTTTAGAGTTGTTTTGATTAATTGTTTTTGCATCGATCCAATCGGAAGAAAAAACTTTTTTTAAAAAAAAAAAGACTGTAAATTAAATTTCTTCACAGAGCTTAATTTCGCATTTTTTTTATACTATAATGTATATTTGATATTTGCTTTCTATTTTTTTAAGCTTTTATAAAATCATATTTAAATTATGTTGTTTTATGAAAAAAAAACATTCTGAATAAATTGGATTTTCAATTTGTATTCTGAAGGCTTTGCAAAGATATTGCAATATGTGTGTTTTTTTAATGGAGTTTTTGTATTTAATTACTTTCTGACAGAATTGGACGACGGAGCCTATAATCCACTCTGGACGATGCGAGGTTTCACTCAGACTTTTCACTTCTGGAAGGAAACAAAACGAGCCCAGTCCGTCCCTCTCAATGCATTTCTAACATATATTACTCTTCCTTGGTGGAGCATAGCTAAAGGTGAGATAAATTTTTGCATTTTAATTAATTGAAATTTTTTTTTTAATCTGACATACAATTTTTAAATTAATAATTAGAATTAACAAAACAAAAATTCAATATATTTTTAAAAAATTAAATTAATTATTTAATTAAATTTAATATTTTCTAATCATGGCATTTTGAAATTTATTTTCCAGATATTCTTGACCATCGAGATGGACCCATTTTGACATTTTAGCCATAACTATGATGGAATCACTGTTCTTTTTTTATTCCTTTGTACATTCGCTTTACGAACATACAACAAAGACGTAATGTACAAACAAAAATTAAAAATAAATTATGTACTATTTACAAATATTTGCTCCACCTTGTCAAATTATTTTTAAATCTCATTACAATGGTAAAAGTAATGTCAACAAATTTTTATATTAGTCTTTTACTAAATTATTTAATTATTTATTAAATTTTTAAATTATATTAAGTTTTTTGATGTTTAATCGTTTATGCTGAATATTTTTTAATAATTATAACAATTAAGATATAATCAGTGAATAATTATTTATTAAGACTTTAATTATTTACTAAGAATAATTAATTATTAGCTATTAATTTAATTAATATAAATTAAATATTTTTAAATATAATTTGAATGAAAAAGTATTTTTAAAATTCATTAAAATATCGAGATATTCAAAGAATTTTTTTCCAATTTCTATAAATATAGGTCACATATAACTTGTATTTATATAATACAATTTTAAAAACTGAAGTATATTGATTTTATAAAATTATATTAATTAAAAAAAAGTTAATTGGAAAAATTGTATAAAAATAAAAAATTTAAATAAGTTGGCAAAAATAACTGTAGATGGCGATGTTGTCGTGTCGATCTATAACCTGAAGAATCGACGACACTTGTTTTGTGACTACACATATGTGTATATCGCGCGCAGAATATCAATTATTTTTTACAAAAAAAAATTGTGTTTACCTGTGCAAAGGTAAGCAATTTTTATTTAGTTCGTATTGCAGTGATCATCAGTAAGACTTTTTTGCAATAATAGAAATAATAAATCACTCTCGTGAAAATAACGGTTTGTATATTTTTGCGTTTGACACTTGTTCTATTTCTCTCTCTATCACTCTCTTGTAAAATGGCCAGTGTTGTCAAGGTGTCTCAAATTTCTTTCCAACTATGTATACATAGGTATTCTTATCTTTTCAATAAAAATTAGAACATCAAATTTATTGTATTAAAAGTGTCAAATTTGTACAGTTGTTAATTTAAGGTTAGGGTTAAAAAACCAAAATGTTTCCTTGAAAAGAAATGTCATTTCTATTAACAGAAAATTAGACACACAAGTTAAGCAAAATTTTTGATTATTTTATTTAGTATACAATTAATATTATTAATTTATCTGAATTGTCTTTTGAATATAAGATGAATTTATGGAAAAGGATAAAATGACAAAGCCTTGTTTATGCGAAAGCGGTCAGGGGCTCTTCTGTTATTATTATTATTATTATTCTCAGTTTTTTTTTATTTGTAATTTTTCGTGAACATTTTTAATTTTTCTTGTCGAATATTAATTTGATATTTATTTTAATTATAAATTTTTCAATAATTGATTTATTTTTTGCAAAGTTGACATATTTTCTTACAACTTCGTGTGCTGTATACGTTTAGTGCATTCGATTTGAAACTTTGATTTCACAATAAGTTCTCATTTCGGGTGCATAATTTACGTAATCTTTGTGCTTGATCGTTACATGCATGTGTATTTTTCACTGGAAATATTGATTACAATTTTCTGGGTTATGCACGAAGAAATTCGTACAATTTAAAATTACTCTCGCTTCGTTTACTCTGGCAAGTTTCTTCATTTATCAAACTTAATTGTCATAATAATCTCTCTTAACGATAGAAGTTAACGAAGAAGAAAATTTTATTTGTAAATTTTAGTAATAATTTGTATAATAATATAATTTGAATGTTAAAATTTTCTCTTTGTGTAAAGTGGAATTAAATTAATTTATTTTTGAGGAATTTTACAAAAAAAAACTAAGCCAGACAAGATTACATTGAGATAATTATCACTTTGCCTCGGTGTATATCTTTAAATTAATTTTATCCATCAAATTTGACTAAATTCAGAAAATAATTTAATTTTTTTTTGCTAAAAGTGTTATATTTAATTTTTCACTTGACGTATTTTAAACTAAACATGTATATATCATGTAAATGATTTAATTTTTAAAAATAGATCTTTTAACTCACGTTTAAATCTACGCTTTGTCAAGTTATCTTTTACGAGCAGATGTGAGTAGGAATATAGAGGAAAATATTAAGTTTAAAAATTATATATATGGGCAAAATTATATATTTTACTGGAATAATGATTACAGTTTTGCATACTTACGCTTTTTTAAAATTTATTATTATTTTTTAAAAATCGGAGAATTCATTAATTAATTGGTTATTAATTGAAAATTAATTTAAATAGAACCTCCAAATGGCTAGTCTTCCAAATCTCCAACACTGAAATCCAAAACACTACACTAAATCATCAAAATGTGAAAACCGAAATTCAATTACCAATGAGATTTGGCTAGAAAAACACTTCTTTTTTTTCGGGGAAACGACAAACAAAAAAAAAAATTGCAAAAATGAAATTGTCACCGGTGGATTATTTTGGCTTTGCGGCAATGGACCGTCGATTCAGTGCTCCGATGTTGCCTTGGATTATCAGTGAAATCAAGAGGAGAAATAAACGCGAAAAGGTTCGTATATTATTATTAATATATGTACAAAATCATTTAACACAATTTCATGCTAATTTCATCATCTAATAAATGAAAATTGACATTAGTGATTGAAATTTTGTTCCTCTTGTTTAAAAAGAAAAAAGACGTTCTATTGCTTTCATAACAAAGCAATAATTTCACATATATACACTAAAAAATATATTTTTACAATTTAAAAATTACATTCGACACACACGAATTAAGAAAATAAACCCAAGCCATTTGTTTATTCATGAAAAGTTACATAATGAAATAAATTACACTTGCATAACTAAAAAAAAAAAAATAACAGATCACAAAATAATGAACAGTAATTTTCCCTTGAAAATTGGAAGATTTCAAAAATTCAATTTTATTCGAAAGTGTTTTCATTATTAATATAAATAATTCAATTATTTATCAAAATTAGTTGAATTTCGTAGGAAAAATTAATTTATAAAATTCTAGTTGGATTAGAAAAATTTTAATTAAATTTATATTTAAAAATAAATTAAATTTATAAATTGAAAAAAAAAATGTTTGAAGAGGGCTTTCACTAGAACAAAAAGATATTTATCTCTATAGATTTTTTATTCTGGTTGAAGTTCATTTACTGATGAGGTCCTTATGTGAAATACAAAAGATGAATATTGTAAATTGAATTCTTTCAGTCTAACAAACAATAGACTCGTAGCGTTTTTTTTTAATGTGTAAAGATTGTAGAATCGACGTCATCGCCTTTAATGGACGAAACGTTGTTATGATTAAGTTTGTGTGAGTTGCCTCGATATTGGAACCCTGCTACGAGTGTCTCTCAAGAAACTGACATAATATCGAATAAAAGGAGTGCCGCAAAATATATATAAAACATAACGGCACTTTAGTAAATCATTATACATTTTCTATATATCTTGAAATACATAGGCAAAAATTATAATTGCACTTTTTTTATACTATCTGCTCTATATATTAATAAACTAATCTCGTAAAATGTAAATTAATATCTGCTAAGGAAAAATCAGGTTTTCTGTTTTCTTTGCCAATTATAAAAAAAAAATATCACAGGATCAAAATATGTTTACTTGACAATCAATCATTAAATTTATAAAAACAGTAGTTTTTTTTTACGAAACTTGTGATTTCATTTAAAAGTTTTACATTATTATTATTTATCATCGACAAAAATCTGATAAAAAATTTATTCAGTTCTTTAACAATATTCACGTAAATGTTAAGAACCGTATGAATAACTGAAATATTTGAACTTCTGTTGTTGACGATAAAATTTCAATAGTGTTTGTCTTTTTTTTTTTTTAATCAGCTGAATAAATTTTCTAACCGTAATGATCAGACTGAATTAATATATAGAGAAAAAGAAAATTACACTTTTTTTATTAGACGTTTCATGTTGAAAATTCTTTTTTGTCACAATCGATAAAAATACTTATTCCGTTTCTTTTATAATTTTAAATTCAATACTTTATGTATTTCTAGGTATTAGCAAACATACGGATTAACATATTAAACTTTAAAAATTGAAAATTAACTAAATTACAGAAATTAAAATTTAAAAAAATTTAAAAATATAGTTTTTAAATTAAAACAATAATACAACAACTTTTTTTCAGGTAACATTGTAAGGGTTGGAGGGGGTTGAATTAATTAATTTTTAATATAATGAGAAAAATATAGTAATTTCAATAAATGGGAAAATTAAAAAAATGATTGCTTGAGAAAAAACATTTTTTTTCTTTAATCATTTTTCTAATGTTAGTCTTTAGCTACAATAGAGCAATTAGATTATATAATTCGCGAGTATAATAACCTCACAATAAATATGGAGAGTACACATGCGTTCCCGAGTGAACAGAGATTCAGGTATTTTATGCAGGAAATTCCAAGCTAGGTCGTGTATATATTCACAATGTCCTTCAGAAATCCAGAAAGAAAACGGATGTCACCTTATATATATGTATATATGTATTGAATATATTTCGAAACCATATATTATTATTATTATTGACAATATAACAAAATTGTTTTTTCATTCTTGGTATTTTTTTCTCATCAATTAATTAAGGGAATATTTATATAATTACACTCTTTATGTGCGGACCATTTTTTAAAATGTATCTCCTGGGAATTAAAATATGAAGATTGTATTCCATTTTTAATGTAAAGAAATTAATTATAATTCTCCAGTTGGGAATTATATATTATCAAAAGTTTAATTTTTTTTTTTTAACTTTTAATTAATTGAAATGCATAATATATATATTGTGATATTCAGTATATCTTTCTGAACGACTTCTTATTCTTGGCAAAAGTTCATTTTATTTTTCGTGCGTGATAGAAAGAGAGGTAATAAATTTAAATGCCTGAAAAGGCCTCTTATACAGTTATAATACTTACTGATTGCAAACCCACATTCGATAAATTTTCTTTTATTTTCCTCTTCTGTGAAACGAATCTTTTGTTTCGTTAAAAAAAAACCGCATTAATAACATTGATGCGGTTTTAATTAAAATTTATTGCTAAAAATTGTTTTTTTATTTCTATTTTATTCAACATTTTTTTTTTTTTTTTTAATGAAATTGTGAACGTATAAATTTTTTCAAGGAATTTGAAATGAAAAAAAAGAGCCTGGACAAAAAGGAGTAGAGTAATAAAAAAAATTGTATTTTTACAATCACCTCTGATTTCTCCTCTAACTTTTCTCTAGGTAAAGACATTGACATTATTTTTGAAGTATTACTGACGCTTTTTTTTCTTCTATACTAATTCAGGTTAACCTTCTACTGGCTTCGGGTTTTATTTCGGCGTACGTTGCCAACAAAGAGGAACCGTTGTTCAGGCATAATTTAAACAACACCTTGAAACCCCAATTGGTACCGCAAAGTGCACAGGATTCAAAAGGTGGCAGTTTTCTTTATACTTTAAAAGGCGATGATGGACTTTATTATTGTCATCTCTTCAAGACTAAAGATTCGCAAACGGTGAGTGAATTTTTTTTCGATATTTATTTATTAATAAAATATTTATTTTCACGATTTTTCATAATTTGAAAAAAAGATCATCACCTAACTTTGACATTGGCAAAGAAATTTAAAAGTTTTTCTTCACTTAATACAAAAGGCGAGGTACTTAACGATAAATGATAATTGACAGCAAATACTTTTTTGTTTTGTTTTGTTTATATATAAATGAGAGACTTGAAAAACGAGAAATTCTAGCTTGGTAATGATAACGTAATCACTTATTCAATTGGAACCTTTCATTTCCTGAATTGATAATATCAAATCAATAAAACTTTATTCGGATTATTTTCTTTTTGTTGGACACAAAAAAAATTATATCTATTCCACTTAACTGAACATCGACCTTTAAGTTTCATTTCTTTAAGGACACTCAAATAATTTTGATACTTGGATACACTTATTTTCACAGCAGTATTCAATAAAGTTCTATTAATTTTATTTCAGTAAATTATTAACAATTTAATGTTTATTGATTAAATTCATTAAATTAAAATTTCAAATGTTAAATTTAGAAGTTTATAAAGAATTGCAAATTAATTTTTTTTAAATTAGTTAAAAAAGTTAAATTGGTAAAATTATTAATCAATTAAAAAATATAATTCACGATTAAAAAATTGTCTTCTATATACCAATGCGTGCACTGATCGATTTACAATATTCTTCACTCGACATTTGACGTACAACTGGGTTGCCTCATACGATGAGATGTGATTTTGTAATCGATTAATTTGTTCACTGTTAATTATAAAGGTGAAAAAGCAAAAGTATTTTTTTTTCCTTATCAGAAAAGAAATAAGTTTATGATCATAAACTTCAAAAGGTTATTATTATTTAAATCTTTGTCGTTGAATTTTTTTTTTTTTGTATCCGAGTCTCTTGACTTATATTCCCAGAAAAAGATGAACAACAATATTTTTTGTTTACACATTTAATCATTGTATTATAAATTTTATTTGCTTGAATGGTTGGTAAACAATTGAACAATTTTTTTTTATTTAAACATTAAAATTTTTTGTTTTATAAACTTTATATGTCTTTATAAAACGAATTTTTTTGTCATTAGCATTTTTCTACTCTTGCTTACAAAGCTTTTTTGTTTTATTATTTTCAATTTGTTTCCTTTGATACTTAATTTTATAATTTTTTATTATTTGCTAAATGACTATTTTTTATTATCATTATTATTTTTATTATATTTGGGTGAGTTGTTTTGTATTCACAGAAAAAGCAATAAATTTCAAATTTTATTCACGAGAGACACAATGTGTTGTGTATTTTACATGTAAAATATATCAACATTTGAATTTCATAAAAGTAAAATTTAAATTATATTTTTGAAAATATAAATTTAAAATGTGCTTGTTGATATAAAATTGAATTAATTAGACATTAAAATTTTTTCGTAAAATATACATACCTTAGAAATAGTAATACATATTGTAAAGAAAAAAAAAATGTCAAGGAAAAAGAAATGCAATAACTAAATTATATCTTTTTGATGTCCGTGAATGAAGTCCACTCACGCAGCTGGCTCAAGATATTTTCAGATGTCTTTGCCAGACAGTTTGGCAACAACAAAGTCAATTTCCTTGTACTAAAGATGACTACGAATTTTCTCATACAACAATTTTTTTTTTTTATTATCAATCATTTTAACAAAATTTTAAATTCTCTTTGCCAAAGGAGAATTTTGTTTTTGAATTTATTATTAGTTTATTAAATATAATATTTTACGTGTTAATTCTTTTTTTTGTAATTTATTATTATATTAAGTAAATATAATATATAATATATAATATATAATAATAATAATAATAATAAAAATGCTAATAATTATTTAATAATCAACAAGATAGGACAGTAAAAAATTCTTTAAGTTATTTTAAGAGAAATAGAATTGTTTCTTATTCTAAAATTGAAATTTCTTTGTTTATTTATCATATACCTTTGTAAGTGTAAATATTTACATGCTCGTATATATAGGAAATAATCGAGTTATTTGGTAAATGAAAAAAAAATCTCATACGCTATCACTGCACCTTTGAAAGTAATTTATTATTTGCTTTTCATGAAATAGGATTTTGTTATCAGAAATATTATTGTTTATTACGTAATATAATTGGAGATACATTGTTTATATTGTAACAGAACTCGCGTGATGATAACCAGTGTCACGTTTTACACTTTTTATCTCACATATTGTTATTATAACTTAAAGAATTCTTTACACCGAATAGATTCAATTCTCATTTTGTTTAACACGTCAAACTTGCAAAATAAGAAAATTTTATTTTACAAAGAAATTTATTTTTAAAAAATTACACTTTTAGTTTTATTTCTCAATTTTTTTTTTTGTTTTTGATAATTTAATTATCTAAAAAATGAATCTAAATGATAAATTTATACAATTTTTTGAAATAATTGGTCACATTATTAATTTTGGCAGATTCACACCCCAGATACAGTGAACGATATAAAATTTGAGATTTCTTAATACAGAACATCTCATACAGTTAGTTTCTGCAAGATATAATAAAAATAGAGTAAGAATTAAAATAGATATTCCAAAAAAAGAAGGCGAGGTACTTATTAGCTTTCTTTTTATAAATTAAATAGAACAGTGAGAGAGTTAGAGTAATCTATATTTATTTTTTATTTTACCAATGATCTTTGGCAAGATTGAATTAGGCTATTGAATATATTTAAAATTCTTTTACGAATTTCCTTTCGATGCATTTCATGGAGATATAGTGCACGTGTGGTCCTCAAAATAGAGACACGTGAAGCACACACTGACCACGCGTGAATCTAATGATCCACCGCTACTTCATCATCATCATCATCAAAATCATCTTCTTATATCTTGATTCATAAAAAAGACATTTTCTTCAAAAAAAAATTTCCAATTTTTTCCACTAAAATTTTATCAAAATGAGATTCTGAATTTTTTAAAATAATTTAATTCGTGACATTTTTTTTTCTGTTATCGTTGTTTCGTAATAAGAAAAAAAGAATGTCACGCACATTCTTTTTTTGTTTAAAGCAAAATTTGATAAATACAATAAAAAAATTTTTATTTCTATTCATGAAATTCAGGTTTTATAGAAATATTTATTTTATGGAAATATAGTTTAATTGATACTCAGATAAATATTGGTTGTCTATTGTCAAAATGTCATTTTCAATCTGACGAATGTAGATTTGTTAATTTAAAAGGCAGCATCCGCTATTCCAGAAAGTGTTTGAATGTCATCGATTTAATAACACAGAACTTCATTTAACTGACACATTCATAAAGGAAATTCTATTGGGATTTACAAATCACTTTTATTTAATCGTATTTTACACGCCTACAAAAACATTTTGCAACTGCGCGTTGTATTTTCTATTTCAAATAACAACAACAACAATAATAATAATAATAATAATATAAATTCGAATTTATTTATTTATTGAACAAATAGAAATTTCTATTTTTTGATATATATTCGCAATATTTTATCCAATTTTATGTGAATGTAAATAAATATTTGTTTACTGAAATATTTATTTTCCTAAATAATAATAAGAGAAATCTTTTAGTATCAATTTTTATCTCCCAACTTTTCTTCATAATTAGTTCAACCTTTTTCTCTTCATATTACTTACAAGTGGTTGTTTAATAGAATTTGGCTGATTGCCAAATAACTGGATCTGATCATTTGCTTACGTAATGTCTTTACGTGCGTGTATTGTAACTTTATAAATTTATTTTAGAAATTCCATTTTTCTTTGTGTCAATCACCTCAAAATCATTTCGAAAATTTTTTACTTCAGGAAATTATGATAATTTATTTTTAAAAATTAAATAATTAATTGTGATTTTTGTTTCAGAAAAATTTTTTCTACGTAATTTTTATAAGGATTTTGGTTGAATGAAAAAAAATAATAATAAACTATTCGTGAGGAAACGAATTTTTTTTTGAAAATAATTTTTCAGTCTAATGAAAAGAATGATTAAACGTTGCAATCGTTCAATTCAATTTTTTTTTCATATACCAATGATTATATTATTTCCTGCATTGGTTTAACGCATCTCCAAGTCAATACTTTACTCTTTGACGATTGCATGTTCACACATACATTATGCAGACAAGTATGTAATATGTAATAAACGTCATCAACTTGAAGTCTCTCATCTGACTCGATTGTCATACCTTGAAGGTGGCCAATCAAGAAAAGTTGTCTTGTATATTGTGTGTGGTGTATATCTCGATGAGTTTATTCTGTCAGTATATAGATATACACCACGAATGGAATATTGCTGTTGACCGTTTGACGAACTATTATTAAATTTGTCCTCAACATTTGGCTTTTTGCTCTCTTACTCGCACAACGTGTTCTCATTTATTATTATTAATTAAAAAAAAAACATCTAACAAATTAAATAGTGATTTTTTTGTTTATTTATTCACTATACTGGAAAAAAGGATAATATTTTTTCTTCAAATTGTTATTTTGTGCTCTGTGATAGGTGATAATTAATTGATTTGATATTTAGTGAGTGTATAAACACGGATTTCTTGGTAGAAGATTTTGGATTATCACAAGATTCCCTTGATGATCGAGGGGTGAGTTTTTTGATTTCGAAAATTAATTTTTTTCCAATTTTTCTTGTCATTATCATTTTTCTGGATTTCCAAGTTTTGAAGAGGCGTATAGGACAAATTTAAATAATATATACTCGGACACATAATATGAAAGTGGGACGCATTTAATGACCATGAATGAGTCGTGTAAACAATGAGAAACGAGGTTTAAGTCCTGATTTCATTTTTTCTTTTATCCTTTTGATAATGATCATCAGAAATAATTTAAAAATACAAAATGGATTTTTTTTTCTTTTTTGCAAATCTGGGGAGCATAAGAAAAAAAAGTGAATTCTTCTTTTCTGTGAAGGTCATATGTCTCTCTCTTTT